TCACCTGCTACCGACTCATCCCTTCCCCGTTGGGGATCGATTCGATCAAACGAAGGAAAATGGAAATCGGAGATGAGATCGATCTATTTCTCTCAGCAGCTTCTCCCAAGCAATCCACGCGCAATAGCCTAGATGAGTCGACGGAATCTGTGAAGGGGTCCACCACGAGGAAGAAAGACGATGTCGTAGGTGGCGGCGACGACGACGGCGTAGAAGGAGGCGGAAGCAGCGGCGGGGATGGAGATAAGGAAGGGAGAGGTAATCCGGGGAGGGGAGGTGAATCTGCAGAGGGAGGGTTAATTGAGTACATTTTTTTATTTCTTTTTTGGTTAACATTTTTTTTAATTTTTATAACAATATATTATTATATTATTATTTAATTTTTAATTAAAAATATGAGGTGTAATTGACGTGGCATCTACGTGGCTGCCACATCAACAAAAGTCAATGTTAATGTTGACTTCCATTTGGTCAACCGTTATCTATAACGATCAACGAAACTGTCAGGATACAAATGACACAAAACTACCAAACGTTGGGACACAATTGTCATATCAAAATACTTTAGGACACAAATGGCACAAAGTTAATAGTTCGGGTTTCCCAGTGGTATTAGCCCTTTTTTAAATATTACTTGATTACACGAGTATCAAATTCAACCTCATCGATAGTTAAATATAATAACATAAAACAAATAAATTATTGGAAGTTCAATGAATGCTATTTTTTCCTAATAAAAATGAGATAAGTTACTTCTCCAGTTGACGGAATCAAATTAATTACCTGTAGGAATCTAATTAGGCAGTATAATAAACACACCTCGATGATACTTTGAGGCACTTTCCATTGTACTTAGTACTAGTTTATTCTTCTCTATGGAGCCTGTGACCATGGTGGAGGGAAAGGCGATACCCGAACTCTAAGAGGACCACACTTTAGGTTTGGTACTTTACAGATCTTGTACCAGACACTCACAATCTGAGCACTAATGTACATGTGTGTGTGTGTTTTCCGCCTTTCCACAAGGGACCTTCATCAATGAATATCATGAAAAATTTGCTCACATTCATTAATATTGTAACTCCTAACGTGTTATTTGATCGTTGGATCGCGCATTTCACAATCCGTTTGATCAGGCAAAGGACGTCATAATGCTAATATATCATACAATCTCATCATAATTCAACTGAGTACGTACCCATCAAACACGGGGAGAACATACACAAAGTAGTTGAATGTGCCAAATGTGAGCAACAATATCACAACACTAATTAATCATTTCTAAGGATGGCAACGGGTTACTTAAGCCGGGGAGACTGGTTTTCATTTATACCATACCCGAACCATAGTTTTAAAGGTTAACAGATAATCATAATATTTTAGCAATATGAATGAAAAAAGTTTTAAAAGTGAATGAGTCTACAACATAATTACAACAAATATTTGGTTTGCTTAGGTATGGCTACCTACAATACCAAAATCGCACCAAACTCATTACCCTATTTATCGATTTCGAAGAAAACCTATAGGTTGGATTTTCCACACAAATTTGTATCGAATTCGATTGAAGTTATTTTGTCGTCTCTAATCATTGCATGCAAATGAGAAACACGCACAGAATCGATCAACACCATTTTCAAATCCATGATTCTGTTCTGCCTGCGCACATGCTCCAAGTCCCCAACTTGGGCCTGGCGGGGAACTTCCTTTTAGGGATACTAATCTTCTTCCCCGCGCATGCTTGATTCGATCCCTTTTTTTCGCAGATTAAGAAACTTGTATAGTTGTATGTGGTCCAGGCATTTGATGTACTACTGCAACCACAGTTGATGATCAGTATTTATTTAATTTGTTGTTGATGGGTTTCCATCAAAGAAGTGGGCAGCCACTGGTGGTGGCTCGTCGATGACGGTAATAATAAATTATGGCCGGCCATCATCCAGTTCATTGTTTTTCGTGTTCGCTTATACGAAAGTCGGTTAAGTTTAAGTTCGTTACCATTGCTTGTTGTTTTAATATTTTATGGATGTTGCGGACACATTGCAAATGACACTTTAAAAAATAAAATTGTGAACTCGCTAAATTACCAAGGAAAATGTGAACTATGATCATATTTGAAGATCAAAACTTAGGTATAAAAGAATTCAAATGTGTACTGGTATCCAAATATCGAATCGATCTCATTTAATTAACCGATTGTTAATTGTTCGCCATCATACTTTCAATTTTGTCTTTATCACTTTTGACTTCCAGAGTTAATTAATTAATACACCGGCAAATAACAACAATCAAGAGCATTGAATTTAGTATCACCAGTTTGCTAACCCAGAGGCTTCAGATTCAAACTATTCACATCATGAGTAGCTGCTGCTGAATCCCTGTTGTGGAATCAGCATTCCATTGTGGGGTCCAGGGCCGGCGATGGCGACGTCGAATTTCCCTGTTTATTTTTACTCCGCAACGCTGTCGTCGCCGGCGCGGATGCCGTTCCTGCTCCCTCCGACAGTGGTGCGGCGAGTGAAGCGGGAAACTACGTTGCCTTTGTCATAAACAAGCGACGGCTTCATGATATATTGGTTTATTCATGGATGGAATGGAACCACATCGGGCAACCTGCATAAATTTGCCGTATTAAAAATAGCGACCAGCGTTTGGAATTCATTGCCGGGCTCGGTAACGCGAGCTTATAATCCTAGTGGAGGCATTAAGGTGATGTTGGACATTGGGTTAACTCGAACAAATGCTTCGAGCTCGTGAGCTAGGATGTTCCTCCGCCGGCCCGGCCTGGTCGGACAACCGGTTGGAAGGCCCTTCGAGTTTGATGACAAGGGTTAGGCAAAGTTGCACCTTCACTTTTTGAAATTGTTAAAAGATCATTCATAATTTTTTTTCCAGAAAATAGTTACCTCATAAATAATACTGTTATAAGTAAAACTTCCTTACGTAATGATATAATGAAACATTATTCTTACATCTTTTTAGAGACTAAAAATACTTGCCAAGTATTTAAGCAAAAGAATTGCTAACAAAAGGAAATAGGGACTGAAATTTGTATACTAAATTCAAAAAGAATTTATACATGACTTTATAATACTACATACAACAACAACTCGATGCAGTTGGAATGCCTTTTGCTCTTTTTCAAGCAGAAAAGCTTTTACCGACAATAAGCAATCCGTCATTATGGGAATGGTTACATCTAAAAAATGGATCATAATTGTTTTGCCAGTTTATGTGATTTCTCAGGTTAATTTGTTGTCTCGCTTAAAATTATCTAATTTGTTTTTGGAGGCCACGTAGGTTCACCGTGCCGAATTGTGATCAGTTATAAAATTTACTTGTCCAAATGATCGACCCAACCCATTCTCAATAATGGTGTTTTTAATACATATAATCTTGCTCAATATTGACATGTATCATTTTTATATACCAGTGAAATGAGTGGGAATGAATGAACAAAATGTCCATTACTAGTAAGTTAATCATTTGAGGTATGATATTAACATGTTCTATTTTCACAAGTAAAATGAAGTGTTAACAATATTAACACCCGACAAAAAACTTTTATCAGATGAGTCCAACTTTACTAACATGTATGATTACAATAACATTGCTTATATACAACTTTACTACAAACCTAGCTAGTAGCTAATTAACTACAACAATGGATGAAGCGAAATGAGCAATTTATCCAACTCATTTACTACGTATTAGGTTATTCTGTCAATTTATCTTAGTAAAATGAATTTGTGCAGCAAAGAGCATAATGTCAACAAATGTCAAGAACCAACTCCATGTACTATAAGTTAATACTATCTACTTTATCATCTAATTATTAATTTGACCTCTCATTTATTTAACATACAAGTTGATACAATTGCAACCCATTATCTACCTTTTTTTTTCCGATCGTATAAAGTATAAACAAGAAACACCTCTTTGTCATGTGAATGTGACATGCATGTTATCTGGATGACTCGTAATCTATTCAAATAAGTGCAGATAATTTTTTTTTATCGTCAAACGTCAATCCACCCAAATCAATCACTCACCCAATTTAATTTAAGTTATTTGTAGCTGGATCGATATCAAACTGCAAATCACTTGTTAGAAATCTAATAAATCGAAATCCTCGGCCCATCAGTTTCCAGTAAAAAATCCGCACATTTTTACCCGCACCATCTTCCCGGCCCACAAGATGTCCCAACAACCACCCAAACCCAATCCATCGTCCCTCACCTATTCTAGTCTCCGTCGTCTTCTTCCCTTCTGTTTCTTCGACCTCACAGTTCAAAAATCTCCCTCATCTCCAATTCTCCCTCCCGTCGTCGTCAGTCGCCTCTGCTGAATTGAGCTACCTTCCGCGTTCCTTCATTCCCTATTTGTTCTGCCGGAGAAAAGGACCCTCCCAATTTAGAAATAACGACCGAGAAAAGAGGGAGGCGGAGGTCAAAGGGAATCCACTGTGGTGCGTCAAGGCGAGGACTTTGATTTACCCTTACACGATGACGGGGGCCTCCAAGCTACAAGCTCTCTGGAATCACCCTGCTGGACCCAAAACAAGTAAGTTTTGCCTTTCCCTGTTGCCCTCTTGTGTTTTATCATCCCATCCTTTATTCCTGAACTGGATCAGGTAGAATTAGATTTCTAGTTTCTTATCTAAGTATGTCAACGGATGAAATCAGCTTGGGAATTGTGTATTCCAGGTGGGTTCGGCCACTGCTGGCTGGACCTCTTTCTGGGTAGTTGGTAGTTGAAAAGGTGTCTCTTCACTATGCCTTAGTGATGGAAAAAAATCCATTTTGACTCACTCTAGTTATTCCTGGAGATCCGTTGGTCCGTAGGGAAAAATGGGAACAATCCCACCTGTCTATGTCAGTATTGCGTCGATGGTTAAGTACGAAGGGACATTCAATTATGCACTTCTCTGGGTTCCTGTTACTTTTCTTTTACTTCGTTGATCAGAGTCTCTGACCTTTTGCAGTAACTTATCTTTGTTTGGGGTTTTTGCAGTCCACTTTTGGGCTCCAACGTTCAAATGGGGGATCACCGTTGCAAATATTGCCGACTTCGTTAAACCTCCTGAGAAACTTTCGTATCCTCAGCAGATAGGTATACTTGTCTTTGACGATTTCCTTCTCGAAAATATATGTTCTATGCATGACTTCTTGCTTTGCCTCTTAGATCATAGCATGTCGTCACAACTCTGCGTATCACTGTGCTATACTTCTTTCACTAGTAGGATTACTGTCATTCGTTGGAAACTGACATGAAACTGGTTGGCTTTGCTTGCTCTCACTTGTGTTCTGCATATTTTTCCAGCTGTAACATGTACTGGAATCATATGGTCTCGCTACAGCACAGTTATCACTCCGGTGAGTTTATCCATGGCACCTCCAGGAGGACTTAGTGCTAAATACTGCTTCCTAAGTTCTGTTATGTGCGGTCTATTTGTTTGTTTGTTTCAGTACTGTGATTTGTTTATCTTCTTTTATGTATTGCCAGCGGATTATAACTTCGTCTGCATTGGATTGATTTGCGTTGAAAGTAAGCTTAAGCAGCGGAAGTTTTCAGTATGCTTCATTGCTTCCCAGAAAGCAAAGACATGATTCTAAACCAAACAGCATTAACATGGTTTTGTTTTGGCCGATAGAGTGTTAGTTTTGTTATTGAGTTGTTTTAGCTATACTCGGTCTGTAAAACCACCGTCTTAATAGTTGGTACTTTCTTCATCATCTCACAATTCTTCTGTATTTTCAGAAAAACTGGAATCTGTTTAGCGTAAATGTGGCAATGGCTGGAACAGGCATATATCAGCTGTCGCGTAAATTACGGTAATGTTATGGCTCAGTCTGCCTTCTGATGGAAAAGTCGGCCAAAATTCTGCATTCCTTTTTTCATAGTTTAACTTCTGTTGTAATACGCTCGGAAGTACTGATCAAGAACTGGCTCCCTATCCTTCAATCATTTGATCTCGGCCATTTCATATTTTCAGGCATGATTACTTTTCTGAAGCCGAGCCTTCCCTTGCTGAAGAATAACGATGAAACTTGGCCATGTTTGGCTGTGCAGGCTCAGGCCCATGATGTTCTGTTATTGGTTGTGTACCAAAGATATCGAACTCTGTAATTTATTTTTCCAGTTTAAAAGTGGGTTGCAAAGTTTAATAAGTTCTTGTGTGGTGTTTTGAGAACATCAATCTTCATCTGTTACAATTTCCACTTAAAAAATCTGTGCCTCCGGTGGAAATGAACCATTATGGTGATGTTGAAATGGGTTGTGTTCATATATATCCTCATCAACTGATGGGGTTTCCTCCTTCGTAGGCAAGTAACCTTCAGTGTTTTTGGTATTGAACATGGCAGATCCAAACAATAAGATCATTCAAACTAAAACTAGTTGTCTTGTGCTTCAGAGCAAGGCGGCTTTCCATGAGAAACGTACCAAGGGCACCAGCATTGAAGCAATGTTTACTGAACACTACGCAGTACAGATGAAACAGCATGCAGAGACCCCGTGATCACTACGACACTGGACCTCTTCTTCCCTGCACTTGTTCTTCGTTTGAGAATCGCCCCTGCAGCTTGCACAGCAACTGCTAGTGATTTCTCTGCCGCCAAATGAGTTGAGCTTTCCATTGACTCTCTCATGGCAGAGCTGCACGTTGGGTGGTGCTCTTCAGGCACTATTTCCTGGACTGATTTTGTGCCTACTTCCTCACAAGCTTGAAGCCATTGGTCTCTCAGCCACTCAGCTGATGTTGTACGAGATTTTCCTCCGCCGATCTCAGCTTCTGTTAAAAATACAGCAGCCAATCTTCTCGCTGGGAGAGAGGAAAGTGCAACAGGAGAGCAAATCCTCAGTTATAGAGCACTTGAAGCTGAGGGAGAATCATAATAGATGGACAATGTGACTTCTCTTTGGTTACAATGTACCTGAGAGAATTTCTTTGGCAAATGCTACATGGTTTTTGTCTCTGGCCATTGCAACAACGAAGGCCAGTTCAGCATCAGGAAATGCCATCTGTATTGTCTCCATCAAAGACTTGGCTGATTCCTTGGTGTGAGCTGGCATAAAAAAGCATTTGCAGAGTAATTGATAATGCTGCTTGAATCATTGATGAGTCCACAGGAGCATATGCACAAACATCAGAATGGGCTTTCAAGCTTTCAACCTAAGTGCTGCGGTTTCAGGCTTGAAAGAGAAGCTTTATGTCGAATATAAAAAAAACAGCAGAAAGGACTGACCTCCATCAACAAGTATGGTTGCCCCGTGTAGCCCTAATGCACCAGCTTCCTTGGATGATAGAAACTGACTTCTTCCAAGTAAGCGAGTATTCTCCAGACCAGACATAATTGATTTATCTGAAACCTGCCACCCTAAAATGTACATCAAAGACATCAATAAGTGGATGAAATTAACAGAATCTACAGTAACCGGCATTCAGAAGGAAGCAGAGTTAATTTTACCACAACTTGAATAACAATAATTCCAGTCATAATCATGAAGGTAATCCCTCAAATCATCTGAAAGTAACAACCTTGATTACGGAGGCACAGTATGGTACATGCAGCAGTCACAGCATTTTGCAGCTGGTGCTTTCCGAGCATTTGCAAGTTGATATCTGATAACTCTAGAGACTGCATGGATCAAAAAGTAAAAAGCTTACCAAGATAACTAACCGAAACAGTGGAAGTCAATCTTTGATGGTGTCAAGTATTCACTTAAAGAAACTACAGCAGAAGAGCATACTAGCAGAATATCTCCCTGAGCTTGTATCACGACATCGTTGACTTGGTAGGGTCTACAGTCAAACATTCTGAGGCCTTTAATGCTTGACCTGGTTCCAGCATCAGATGCTGATACCACTGGTGAGTACATCAGTGATGCTCTATCACGAAGAATCTGCTCTATATGTGGTACAAACGGGCCACCAAGGACTGTCTGAGAAAATCAAACACTCAGAAAGAGAGGACCACAATTGAAAATCCTCATGCATAAAGTCCATTTGAGAATCATTTTAACACAAGGAGAGGAGAATTCACCTAACTGGGACACTGAGTTTAATGATTCCTGCCTTGGCCATTGCAATGCTCTCCAGAGAACCTCCCAGTGCATCCAAATGCTCCTCACCAATTGTAGTAATAACTGATGCTGCAAGCTCAGAGCTAGACAGGATGTTCGTTGCATCTCGCGCACCTCCTAGACCAGCCTGTGACAATTCAATACCGAAATCAAACTTCTTGCACTACCATCGTCTAACCATTGCCACACAAGAAAATATGAAATTGAACAAACCTCAATCACAGCAATATCTGATTTCTCCTCAGCAAACAACGCAAATGCAGTTGCTGTGAGAATCTGACAATCAATTAATCACCCGAATCAGTCAGAAATTCGAGCAGGAAGACAGAACAACGAACAATTTAGTGGGATTTCACGACCTCAAAATGAGTCAGCCGTCCATTTTCTAGCTGAATAGCTTCGTCAAGCTGCCCTTTTATCTTATGGAAGAGGCGATTCAAAGATTCTGATGCCACTGGATCACCAGATTTCCCAACTGTCATCCTTTCCCTTATAGTCATAATGTGTGGACTGCGAATCATTAACCAACATCACAAATAAGAAAAAAGGCAATTCAGAATCCGACATGGGACGAACAAAAAATCAGTCGTCGAGCAGAAATTGCACCTTACCTAGTATAACAACCAACGGAATAGCCTTGCGCTCGTAGAATGTTGGAAACAAAAGCTGCTGTTGATCCTTTCCCTTTAGTTCCAGCAATGTGAACGACCTATTATTTAAAGACATTCGTCAAATTCCGTTCTGATGTTTTCTGCATTTCTAGAGGTAGCTAAACCGAGTGAGTGGCCCAGAAAGGAGAAAAAGTTCCAACCTTGAACTTGGATTGAGGATCGCCAAGGCGGGCCATGAGCCGGCGCATTCTCCCCAGGTCGAGCCCATCGTCGGAATCCGTACCGGCGTCCTTGGGAACCCCCGATTTCTCGTAATTTGTGAGTGAATCAAGGTAGTCGCTGAAGTCCTTGAGCTCCTCTGGCTCTTCTCTGCAACTGGAAAAGAACTGCTTCCATACCAATAACATCTCCAAGCTCGACTTCGATCCGCCATTGGAGCAAAATGGAGTTCGTCTCCTGCTCGTTTGCGCCAGGAACTGGAACTGGGCAGAAAAAGGGTTCGGAAATCTCATTTTCCGTTTTCACGTTTGTTTCTCAAGAAACATCGAGGTTTTGGGGGGGGGGCCTTATATTCCACTGAAACGGCGCCGTCTCCCTTGTTGACTCTTTTATTGGGGTTACCTGATTTAGATTTACAGAGGCATGCCCGCATTGCGGCACCAGGCAGTTAAAAAGGACAAATCAGAGGATTCTTATTACAGTGTCGGATTCATTCTATTCTACTTCTGGAATCGCGGGTGCGTGCGTCGTTACAGTTCCTGAAATTGTTTGGCTTTCCAGATTTGGGGAGGTGGAGGGAATCACAAAGGTCGGAGCTTGGAAACCTCAAGCGACACACACATATGTCCCAAATTCTAACCAATCAAGGAAAAGGAACACAAAGAGAGCAAACAGCCGCCGCACGGAAAGCCGTCGTCACCCCTATTCCCCCCAGCAAAGCAAGATTTATTCCTTCCTCTTTAAGGCAGGCAGGTGCGATCCCAAACTACCCCCAATAAGATCATTCCAACTTCCCATTTCGAGTTCGTGCTTTCTGTGTGGGGTTGCTCTTTCCTGGGCCTTTCTCACACGCTGGAGGTAAAAAGCCCTTATCTTTGCTTTGGAATTGTATCGACTTGTGTACTTAACTAGTTAACTACTCAATGTCATTGATATATGGATTCGGTTTCTTTCCCCAGTTGAGTAATCCGCTTTCAGCACGTTATTTTGGATTAAAGCAAATCCTGCTTCGACTCTGCTATTGCATCGCAGATGTAGTCTGCAATATGAAATTGGAAGTCTTGCTGATCTGATTTTCGATGTAAAGTTTCATCCTTTATGGTATGCCTCATAAATGGTTGACCAGGAAGCTGATTTTCTTGCCACCATCTTTGTTTCTTTCTTATTTTTTTCCTTGAGATCGTTGCCTTGTGCCTTGAACGTCAAATTCCCTGTTAGCCCAATTCAAGCCAATCCTAGGATGTGATTTTGGACTTGGTAATGAACAGAACTAGATTGGCTGTTTAACTTTGATTTGAATTCACTTGGTGGGTTGATTCCAATGGAAACCTTAAAGGTCTGTTATGTACTGCCTTCCAATAACAGTGTGATTGATTGCAATTCCTTTGTTGTTTTTCCTTGATGCAGAAAGTATATTAGAGTTTGGCAGCCTGGTTACATTATCAGCTAAGAAGGGCAGAGTTTATGTTTGAGAACTGAAATAATAGCTGTTGCTTCTTTAAACAGTAGATATGGAAACAGTTACCTTTGAGTTAGAAATAAGTCATGTTGTGGCAGAAAGGAAGGAAACACCAACGAATCGGGAAAATGTTGATAGTACTAGTGCTACGGAAAAGGTCGAAGCAGGTAGCCTGCCTATTTGTGATATAAATAAAAGTATCTTGGCTGTAAGTTTCTCTGATGATAATGAGGACAGACTGGACAGTGGAACAGCAGTCACTGCAACTACGAGCAGTGTCGATGGTTCTGAAGAAACCATCATGTTTCCATTTTATTTAAGGTTTCCTTCACAATGTTCTAGGAGGAAAAAGCTGCTTATTCTTGATTTGAATGGGCTACTTGTCGATGTAGTTACTTGTCCTCCAAAGGACCGTACTCCAGACAAAAGGGTTGGATTTCGATCATGTAAGTTCAAGATCGCCTTTGTCCTTGGTGAAGAAGTATGTTGCGGCAGTTTCACCTTCATCTGATTGGCATGCTTTGTTTTTGTTGTTTCAGTTTTTGTAAGGCCGTATTATCTGGATTTTCTCAATTTTTGCTTTCGGAAATTTGAAGTAGCTGTATGGTCATCAAGAACAAGGTATTTTACTCAGCTCATATGTAAACTGTTTAGTTCTTCTTTCTCTGTTATTGTTCACTATTTGAAAAGTAATATTTCTTCTAATCAATCTATGTTCTGCAGAAAGAACATCAGTATCTTGATTGATTACTTGTTTGGAGATTTGAAGAACAGTTTGTTATTTTGTTGGGTGAGTGTTCCTGAAGATATCATTCTCACTTTTGTGTTCAGGGTGACCTCACTTTTACACCTAATCTAACTTGGCTTGATTTAGTGTTGACCTGAAACTGGTGCTGAATAGCTTTAAGTACTTGACCATTTGCTTTCATTTTAACTGACGGTATGATGTTCTTTTCTTTGTCATTTACTCTGCTTCAACTCTTCTCAAAGGATCTATCCCATTGCACAACAACACAGTTCAAGACAGTAGAGAACAAGCACAAACCTCTGGTATTCAAAGAACTGACAAAGGTTTGGAATAAAGAGGACCCTCAACTTCCATGGGAGAGAGGGTACTTCAATGAATCAAACACATTGTTGGTGGATGATTCTCCCTATAAAGCATTACTTAATCCTGTAAGTTGTATGGTGATATCTTCATGTTTTCTGCCAGTCACTTATTCTGACGTAATAATCGTTGTCTCTATAATCCTTGATACTTATTTCCTTCGTGGTGTGTTACCAAATGACAAGACAGGCTAACTCTGGCATCCATCCTGATCCCTACAGCTATGAGGATCTCAACGATAACTCACTAGGTAAGTTTCACATTGACTTGATGTTGATTAGCTTGCTGCCAAGCAGTAACTGAATTGAAATGAAATGACAGGTGTTGATGGTGACTTAAGAGTATATCTTGAGCAGTTATCCGAAGCTGTTAATGTACAGAAGTTTGTTGCGACCAACCCATTTGGTCAAAAGCCTGTTGCTGAAGGGAATGCAGAATGGAGCTTCTACCATGAAGTTATAAGCACATTGTATCCTTCCCGAGTTGAAGGCAGGAAATACGTCTCTTCGGTGTTAACTTGATGGAAGGAAGTCCTGTAGGTGCAGTAGGAACGTTATACGCACAACTGCCTGTTTTTTACAAGGTGCATAGAAGAAGTAGCCAAAAAATTTCCTCCAGTCATTTGCATATAGACGAACCCTTGATTGAATAGTTGAATGACAACTACAAGAGACCTGCAATTTCTTCTAAAGAGTTATTTGGGGAGGAGTTTGTTATTTTAGTTAGTTTCATGCTTCAGTAAACTTTGCTTTTGGAGAAAACAAAGAAGATTACGCTAGAAGTTGCACACAGGTCTTTCAGTGGGGGGGAATTCCACATTGCTACATGGCTTGTTGAATGTTTCCCTAGCTGTTGGGTTTAGCTATTTTCCATTACATGATAAATGATAAACCTGTTTTTTTTTTTTTTTTTTTGTGTGTATCATCGAGGGTTCCACGAGCAACAACAATGACTAATCTATTTTCACGAATAATCATGTGAAGTGGTAAATGATTGATCACATGGGTGAACTCTACCGGAATTAAACTTTTGTCCTAATGATTGAACCACATAAAATGGAAAATGATTGGTCATAAGCAAAGTTGTCAAATTGGTTCAATTCGTTATGTCAGCAAAGTAATTTTTTGACAATTGTTAGTGAAGTAAATGGTATGGTACGACTAGTGGCACAATGGGTTATGCCGGTTTTAATAGAATAAACAAGAAAATTAGAAAATAATTAACACCAAATGAATTAGTTAGAAAAATGATAGTTAATTCACATAAAATCATTTATATTTAGGAATTAGTAACTCAAATAAACAAATAAAAACATAAAAATAAAATATATAAAGTGAATTTTATTAATGTCTACAATGACCATTTTTGTAAAATTAGTTTAAATAGTACAATATATAATGTTAATATGTATCACAAAATTCTCTGTAGCCTATTGGTGTACAATTGAAAGGAGTGAAACATGATGAACTTTGGTTGAGCCCCATCCCATGGTTGGTGTACATTTTTGGGAGATGTTTGAGAAAGTGTTGGAATCTAACTATCTAGTCAGATCGAACATTTTTCTCAATTTTGACAGAAGATGTAAATCGATCTCTTTTTTTCGTCTGGTTTGGTTGACCAACACCGATAGTACTCGACAACTGTATTTGACAACCATGGTCACTAGATGAACTCCATTTGTATTGACGAGAATCAAATCCTCTAACCTAATGATTAAAGAAGATATACAATCTAACATTCACACCACATACATAGTTGAAATCCCTAAATTATTTACGAAGACTTCCAAAACAAATTGGGCCGCAATGGAGAAGTGGGCATGTACGTTTGGACCTAGCAATGACAAAAACATCTTACTATCTTAGCTAAATAGATTGGAGATCACCATGGGACTAATTTCATGAACCTTATTATATTCACGAAACGACCCATGCATAGTTCTGACGAGTGACAACGACACAACAATTTTTAACGTATGTCCATAAATGTATGGCCTTCCAAAACCGCCGGAGTCGGCCAAAACTTCCCGGTTGAGTCCCACACCGTGACCATCAGATCACTTCTATAGTATTTGGTGACCAGTCATGTCACCAAAAGTGACGCCGGAATATCCTCCTAATTGATTGTCCAAATTCTAATTGATAATCATATGCGTAAGAATCCATATAGTTCGGACTTTTGGGATGTGAATGCATATTGTCGCGTCGTTAACCGCCGGTATTCTGAAGGCCGCCACAACAAGCTGAGATTATGGGAGCTGGGATGTGACGGATTGAACTAACAATAAAGAACGATAAATACTGAAAAAATCATACACACATTTATAGAAATTAGGGTCTAGAGGGAGGAGTATTCATAGAATTGAAAAAGTGAAATCAATTAATATTGGCTAGAGTAGAATAAGATGACATGTAATCCTATAATAATGACAGAAACCCCAACTTCGGGTTTAATCTGTGGAAGGGATTTCTTGAATTATCGTATTTAGAATTATTATCGATTGGCATATAATAAAAAAGTATTAAATATTACCAAAAAACAAAAGGTATTAAATAACCATCGGTTAGGTAATTGCATTTAATTAGTTATACTTAATTATTCTTGGGGATTAAATTGGTAGAATATGGGGTAGGTTGGGAGACAACGGTTTCAAGGTTTGGCCTCTGTATTTATACCTTCACCTTTATATAACTTTATAAGGGTGTATTAGTATAGTTATAGTGCACTTTTACTCTTAAAGAAAACCACCCGCGGAGACAGGAATTTTATATAGGGGTGTCCTTTTTAAAAAAATTAAATTAATAATTATGAAATAAGAAAATATATAATTAGTGCAAGTTACATTAAAAGTTCACGACATATTTTCATATTCCAAAAAGATTAGAAATATATTTGGTGTCTACACGGCTCAACAAATCTCTCTATCTTACAATACAATATTCACGAACTAATCGCTTATTCAATTCCGAAACTTGTTCTTAAAATACCCCAAAGTTGAAAATGTTATTTCAACACTTGCAGTTGCAATCGGTGAAATCAATACTTTTGAGAAGCAAATAAACCAATGGATATGATAGAATGGAGGGAATAATGGTAGCCGTAATTGAGCTTAATTGTCAAATTTTGAAAATAATTGAGGAAAGGAAAAACATTTTTACTATTAGACTTATGTTTAGAATGCAACAACAAATGAGTTATAGCCTAATGGAAAACATGTTTACCAATATATTAGTTAATAGTAGTGTTTTAGGGTCAAATTACCTAATCTATCACTTATATATTTTTCTTTTACCCGTACACAAACTACTACCGAAATTGGATAATCGATTTTCTCCAAAATTAGGGGTGTACCGGGACACCCCAAACCCTTGGCTCCGCCACTGAGCTCATCAAGAAGAAGACTCAGAATAACTTCACAAATCCTACCAGAAAATCATCTACAAAACGATAACTCTCCTTCCAGAATCCAGAGTACGTACGTCCTGATTTAGTCATGTGTAAAATGTGACCAAATTTGTAAGACGTATATTCGTTACACACTTGCATCGAACGTCCTTAGCCTCCCCAAATCCTGACCATACACCATACAATAAATAATCCCGACCATAGAATACAGCAGACTTCTCCATCATCGGCGTGCATGGAAAATTAATTGAGTTTGGCGCTTCTTATCATTATTATTGGGATATAAAGCTAAAAGCTCACAGTGCACTTCGTTTTCGACGACGACGGCGACGACTGACAAAAAAAGGGCGAAACAAATTAAAGAAAATAACGGAACCAAGAAGTTGGAATACGTTTCTTTTACCGACGCCGACTTCCGCCCCGCCTGCCTAAGCTACTAAGCTTTGCCCTCCAAAGGCAAAGGGGTTTCGTTATTTTTGTGTAACTTTGGTGGGGAAATATTCGGCTGTATATGGTCTACTACTGTTCTGTTCATCAGTCCCTTAGCTCCGAAATGGGATAATCCCAATGAAAACTATCCCATTTTTTGGTTTTATTCCCCCACACCCACATGCATATCGCTTTGTTGTATACTGTAGTGACGACGACTCACCTAAACAAAAAGGAAAAAAGTCCTACATGTGGTATGTGTGGTCCTCGCCCTAAAGAAGAGCATCTTATCGATACGATCAAAGACTTGTAACGTTTGAATTTATTGTTTAGCGGTACTTATTCTTAACACAGCTTCTCTGTCATTAGTAAGAAATTTTGACTCAAATAAGTGTAGAATGTTTTTTTTCCAAGCAATGTTTGGATTTAACGGGTTTTCATCTCTCGAGATAATTTAATTACGATAGTGATCACCAGATTATACATCATTACGAATATGGGTGAGGAACTAAATGATAATAGCACTTAAGGATTCAGTGACGATTAAGAACGAGCGGTACTCTCAGAATCAGATACTAAGTAAAACATGAGGCGACATTATCCAACGAAGAATACATTTGCAAATTACTTCTCTAGGTTAGAATGTGAAGAAGTTTCATCAAACCATCCTACACTTTTTGTTTTAAGAAGATCGATGATAACCCAACTCGATGTGCTATTTCACGCATGTAAGTTGACAAAGCTTAAGTTTCACAAAACACCAAATTCGGACGATTGATGATTTGTTGACTAAACAAAAATTGGATTTGTTGTTAGTTTTGAGTAAACGGAAGGGAAAAGGGGCCGGAGGGAGAGAATGGCGACCAGACCAGACCACAGCTAGATAGATAGCAAAAGGACAATGATTGCCTGAAACATGCGCGAAAGAAAGAACTCTAACAAGAAGGCGGAAAAAATAACAAAGGGGCAAAGGGAGAATGTGTACTTCTTTTTTATTTTGATGATAAGATGTGAATGTGGAGGGAGTCCCCACTTTCACTAGTAGTCGAAGAGGAAGAAGAAGAAGGTAAGATGGATTGGATGGAATGGGCGAGGGTGGGTTCAAATTGCATAGACACCACTAAATTTTATGGTCATTGACTATTTGGTCATTTGGATTTAAGAAGAAGAAAATTCCAACAATAAGGTGACTACTTTTATCTCGGTTGTTTGAATTGCTACCTGAACCGTGCGTAAAGTGACAAGTCCATATATAGAAGGATCGGTTAGGGTGGTTTTATGTAATGCGAGAGTGAATAACGCGTAGAGTACTAAGTGTTAAAACCAATCGTCAATTTCAGTTAAGTATGATTTATATTTTCTTTTAATGGCTATCTATTTACATGAGTTAGTTTGTACATCTAATAATGAATGATCATGTAACTTTTATTTTAGTCATTCCATACTAGGGATGGCAATGATTCCAGACGGAGATGATTTTCTTGTATTTATAATTCTTGAACTACGGTATGGTAATAGTAAATATCCGCTTACTGGAAAGTTGACAAGGATGTGATACGACATATAAAATCCGACTTGTTTTTCGTTCGGTGAAAACCTGTGCACACTATTACCTAAACAATTATATTTTACATTCTTAATATGATTGAACATGATTTGCTATGAATGTCAATGTGTTTGTTGATTACTCTTTGATTAGATATTGTTTCGACGAGCGAGAGAATTTCATTGCGTCCTGAGTCTTTATTTGATGATAATGACCATTAATTATTAATAAACAAATGACTTTGATTATCAAATGGTTTGAAATGATTCAAATTCGGGGTTCACTGTAATTCTTGAAAGATATGAACGATCTAGCGTTTAAAAGTATACATAAAGTGCAAGACCATATAATTTAAAATACAAAATCTACATAAAATTCATTACTCTCTTTTTGGGTTTGCAAAAAACCTCACCTAAAAAACAATATCAGTAGAGATTTTCAAGATAAAACAATTTCGAGCTCGATTAAATACCTACCACGATGGATTAGTTTTGCCATCCTCATT